ACCGACACCTCCCTGCCGCCGTTCTATATATCCTCGTGTAGGTCGACGACTTGGTGTTTGCTACTGCTGACACTGCTGGACTCGCCCACGTGAAGCCGAAGCTCCAGAATAGACCACACGTGCACAGACCTCGGTGAAGTGCGCAGCTATCTTGGCTTGCAGAATCACCCGGGACAGAGCACGCCGCACCATTACCCCTGACTCAGTCACACATTGGCGCAGCAGGTCCTTCAGCGCTTCGACTTCTAGTACTCCTCGCCACAGGCCACTCCTCTGTCTACTCGCCACTTCGAATCTCAGCTCTACCTTCGGATGAGTCATAGAGCAGAGTGGCCCTTACCAGAGCTTGTTGGCTGCCTACATGTACCTGATGACCTGCACTCGACCTGACCTGGCATACCCTCTTAGCATCCTGGCACGCTATGTTGCTCCTGGGAGACACCGAACTGAGCACATGCTGCGGCGAAGAGGGTGTTTGCGCTACCTGTGCAGTACGTCGGGCATGGGGCTCGTGCTTGGAGGGCGGAGACCAGTGGTCCTCTCTGGTCAAGCAAACGCGTCTTGGGTTGACGACTTGGCTTACGCAGCGGTCTTCACAGGGTTACACCTTCAGCCTTGGTTCCGGCTCTGTTTCGTGGCGGTCTACCCGTTCGTCTTCTGTTCTCAGCTCCAGTTGTGAGGCTGAGATCTACGCAGGGGCCATGGCTGCACAGGAGTTACGCTGGCTCACCTACCTGCTGACTGACATCGGAGAACCCGCCTCGTTCTCCTCCAGTTTTTTACGTAGACAACAGGCCATGCTGGCCTTGTGGCTGTGAGCACAGACTTGAGCACAGAACAAAGCACATTGCTCTTCGCTACTTCCTTGCACGTGAGCTACAACAGCGTGGTCAGCTGCGCCTTGCTTATGTGGCCTCGCGGGCCAACACTGCTGATATGTTCACCAAGGTGCTTTAGCCTTGTGATCATCAGCGCTTCTGTACTATGTTGGGTCTTTTGCCTACTTGGCCTCACCTGCTTACTTCTTGACTTGCTTGTACTGTGATCTATATATATCCTTGCATCTGCATGTTTACCTTCCATATAATCCTGCATGTGAACTGGCCTTGTGGCCTTTGGAACATGTGCTCAGAATGTGTGGTGACGTTGTGATCCACCCTAAGCTTGATTTGCTTTGCTTTGTTTGACTGTCTTGTGACCCCTTGTTCTCCCCCACTTTGCATATGGGGTGTGTCAAAACATCTATCTTATAGCCTATTTAGGTTGTAGTGGGGTAGACACTAAGGGGTACAATTTGCTAGAGTTTCATACTTGTACCCAACTCATTTCCTAGTCAATCATCCTTGTTTTTACACACTTTCCTACAGGGCAGCCTTCACGAGGAGATCTGGCTGCGCCGCCCACCTGGTTTTCACTGGGTCTTTTCCTGTAGGTACCCAGTGGAGCCTCCGGCGGCCATTCTACGGTCTCCGCGAGGCACCTCGCGAGTAGCATGACACACTGAGGACAACTCTTTCGGCTCTTGGGTTTGCTCCTTTTATTGCTCACCCATCACTGTAGATCACCCCGAGACAAAGCACGGCACACCATTACCCTTGACTCAGTCACACATGGTGCAGCAGGTCCTTCAGCGCTTCGACTTCCAGTACCTCCTCGCCGCAGTCCACTCCTCTGCCTACTGGCCACTCGTCTCTCAGCTCTGTCTTCAGATGAGTCTGTAGAGCCGAGTGGCTCGTATCCAGAGCTTGTGGGCTGCCTCATGTACCTGATGACCTGCACTCGACCTGACCTTGCTTACCCTCTTAGCATCCTGGCACGCTACAATTGCGGCCCGGGGAGACACCGCCCATAGCACTGGAAGGCCGCTAAAAAGGGTGATGCGCTACTTGTGCAGTACGTCGAGCATGGGGCTCGTGCTTGGAGGGAACGGGGTCCAGTTGTCCTCACTGGACACGTAGACGCTTCTTTGGTTGACGAACTTGGCTACGCAGCGGTCATCACAGGGGTTACACACCTTCAGCTTTGGCTCCGGCTCTGTTTCGTGGCGGTCTACCCGCTCGTCTTCTGTTCTCAGTTCCAGTTGTGAGGCTGAGATCTACGCAGTGGCCATGGCTGCACAGGAGTTACGCTGGCTCACCCTACCTGTTGTCAGACTTGGGAGAGCCCTCGTTCTCCTCCAGTTCTGTACGTCGACAACAAGGCCATGATTGCCTTGTGTCAGGAGCACAGACTAGAGCACAGAACGAAGCACATCGCTCTGCCCTACTTCCTTGCTCGAGAGTTTGCAGCAGCGTTGTTAGCTCCGTCTTGTTTACGTGGCCTCTTAGGTCAAGACTGCTGATATCTTCATCAAGGCACTTCCGCCTTGTGATCATCAGCGTTTCTGTACTGTCTTAGGTCTTGTGCCTACTTGGCCTCACTTGCTCACTTCTTGACTTTGCTTGTACTGTGACCTATATACTTATAACTGCATGCTTACACTTGCTAGGCTGTGATCGTTGTACTACTTGTTCTCCTTTATATATAACTCTGCATGTAAACTGGCTTTGTGGCCATTCGCTTGTGCTCGTAATGTGTGGTGACTTCGTGATCCACCCTGAGCTTGCTTTGCCTTTCTTGACTGGTCCTTGTGACCTCTTGTTCTCCCCCGCTTTGCCTATGGGGGTGTGTCAAACATATATGTTGCTTATTGTGCAGGCTGTAGTGGGGTAGCCCATATTGGGGTACAACCCAAATTAGGTTTTGCTACTTGTACCCATCCTACTTCTAGTTCATTCATTCCTGTTCGTTATTCTGACACCAACAGCAATTGATGTACGAATTCGCTTTCTCCCCGTTCTCCATCTTTATCTCCATGAATTTCTGCAAGAGCCTGCTGGAGGTGACTGCGCCCTTCGGCTGATATACCTCAACGAAGTGTCAGCAGGCCCCTAAGGCTAGAGCGGCTCTCACTTTGTAGGAGTGTGTTGCCGAGTTGCTCCGCGGGCGTCACGTTCCTTAGCAGCATGCTGTAGCCCATGAGGGACTCGCTGGAGTATTGAGCCCGGGCGACTTCGGTGTCTTCCGTCTTCCACCGGTTTAGGATAGGAGCCGTCGAAGTAATGGTAGATCTGCGCTGGCTGTAGGAGGAGCTCTAACTCAAAGCTCCATGTATGGAAGTCCTTGCCGTTGAACGCGGCGGTAGTCTTGATTTAGGAGACACTGAGAAAACGTGCTTGCGCAGAATTAATTACTTCATCACTTGGACGGGGGGCTGTTGGTGTTGACTTGTCTGTGTCGAGGGAGAAGGTGTGCGCGGAGGTATCATGGCTTCTTGTGGCCGGTTGAGCAGGTTGTGCTAGTTGTGAGGAGGTTCCCACGTCGCCTTTTGCACAATGCTTAAATATTTTTCTCCATATTTGATAGTCGCGAAAACAACTGCTCGAGCGCAGCTGTACTTGTCGTGGTTGTCGCCTCATTTGTCGCGGCCGGGTTGGTTTCAAGGCCCAAAATATCAGGGTAAAACGCCCTGATTACCCTAGGGGCCGGGTAACAGAAATTTGCTACTTCTATGTCTGATTGGTCAGACATTTCCAAAAAGCCGTGACAGCAAACTCGCCCTAGCACGGTGGTTTCGTGCTGTCAGAGCACAACAAATTCGCCCAATCACAATTTTGCGATGTCAGAGAGCAGCATATTTGCCCAATCACAGCAGAATTACCCTGACACAAGAGCAGATTCGCCCTTACACAAGAGATTCGCCCTGTCAGAGAATGTTTCGCCCAATCATTGCAGGTCCGGTTGACATCTCAGATCAGGAAATGCTTGAAATTGTAGGCTATAACATGATTCGGTTTCAAATGAATTAGAAAATACGTTTCTGATGCATCAGATGAAACTAAATAATGATTTCTAGCCAATCAGATGAAATCAACATCAAATATAGGAAAATCATATTAACTGGGAAAATATCGTCTGATTTCTAAGACAAACTGACAAAATTGTCTGATAGCAAGGACCCTCTTGTGAGTGCTACTTTATTATGTCAGTATAGAAAACTTGGCTCACAAAATAGTAGCCGAAACAGGCTTAGCCTAAAACTACCCTGATCAAATCAAGCTATATGTTAATTTACCCTGCAGCAAACAGGGTACGAAAATTTTTACCCAAGGGGTCGGGCTAAGGAGTGAGGAACATAGAACGAGAATGAATGACTAAGGAATGAAAGTGATACAAATATGAAACCCTAGAATTGTGTACCCCTTAGTATCTAACCCGCTACAAGCCTACACAGGTTAGATCATATAAGTTTGACACACCCCCATAGGCAAAGTGGGGGAGAACAAGGGGCCACAAGACCAGTCAAGCAAAGCAAGACAAAGCAAGCTCAGGGTTGATCACAACGTTACCACACATTCCGAGCACAAGTTCAAGGCCACAAGGCCAATTCACATGCAGGATTACATATATATAACGCTAAACAAGCAAGTGCAGGTATATATATGTAACAGTACAAGCAAGGTGAAGAAGTGAGCAAGTGAGGCAAGGTAGGCACAAGACCTAACAGAGTACAGAAGCGCTGATGATCACATGGCGCGAGTGCCTTGGTGAAGATATCAGCAGTGTTGGCCTGAGAGGCCACGTAAGCAAGGCGCAGCTGACCGCGCTGCTGCAGCTCACGAGCAAGGAAGTAGCGAAGAGCGATGTGCTTCGTTCTGTGCTCCAGTCTGTGCTCCCGGCACAAGGCCAGCATGGCCTTGTTGTCTACGTACAGAACTGGAGGAGACCGAGGCGGCTTTCCAAGGTCAGTCAGCAGGTAGGTGAGCCAGCGTAGCTCCTGTGCAGCCATGGCCCCTGCGTAGATCTCAGCCTCACAACTGGAGCCGAGAACAGAAGACGACCGGGTAGACTGCCACGAAACAGAGCCGGAACCAAGGCTGAAGGTGTAACCCTGTGACGACCGCTGCGTAGCCTGGTCGTCAGCCCAAGAAGCGTCAGCGTGACCAGTGAGGACCACTGGACTACGCCCTCCAAGCACAAGTCCCATGCCCGACGTACTGCACAAGTAGCGCAACACCCTCTTTGCTGCAGCCATGTGCTCTGGTCTGTGTCTCCCAGGAGCAACGTAGCGTGCCAGAATGCTAAGAGGGTATGCAAGTTCAGGTTGAGTGCAGGTCATCAGGTACATGAGGCAGCCAACAAGCTCTAGGTACGGGCCACTCGACTCTACGGACTCATCCGAAGGCAGAGCTGAGAGCAAGTTGCGAGTAGCCAGAAGAGTGGCCTGAGGCGAGGAGTACGTGAAGCCGAAGCGCTGAAGGACCTGCTGCACCATGTGTGACTGAGTCAGAGTAATGGTGCGCTGTGCTCTGTCCCGGGTGATCTGCAAGCCAAGGTAGCTGCGTAGTTCACCCAGGTCTGTGCACGTGTGTCTCTTCTGCAGCTCGGACTTCACGTAGGCGAGTCCAACAGTGTCAGCTGTGGCAAAGACCAAGTCGTCGACGTACACGAGGATGTAGAACGGCGGCAAAGAAGTGTCGGTGCGCAGAAACAGCGACGGGTCGGCAGTAGGAGGAGCAAACCCAAGAGCCGCAAGTGTAGTCCTCAGTGTGTCGTGCCACTCACGCGGTGCCTGGCGGAGACCGTAGACTGGCCGCCGAAGGCTCCACTGGGTACCAGGAGGAAAAGACCCAGTGAAGCCAGGTGGGCGGCGCTGCCAGATCTCCTCGTGCAAGCTGCCCTGTAATAAAGCAGTGCTGGTGTCAAGAGAGTGAAGCTCGTAGTCACGGTGAGTGGCTATGTGCAGCAGTACCCGAAGAGTGGTCATCTTCAGGGTTGGAGAGAAGGTCTGAAAGTAGTCAACTCCCTGCCGCTGACTGAAGCCACGAGCCACGTAACGGGCCTTGAAGACAGGCGGAGAACCGAGCGGCCGCTTCACCCTAAAAATCCACATGCCACTAACGATGTTCGCCCCAGGTGGGGGAACCTCGTCAACGTAGGTGCCTGTGGACTTCCAGGAAGCCATCTCTGCGTCCATGGCAACCTGCCACTGAGAGGAGTATGGACCCTCTATCGCCTCCGCGTAAGAGCGCGGAGTCGGGATGTCTGGTGCATCCGGGTCTCCCTTAGGGGCTAGCAGCATGGACACGAGATGAGGTGAAGCAGCCGCAAAGCACTGGAACTCCTCCTGCCTGTCCTCAAGGACGTCCGTGCCAAGAGCACACTCACCCCCGATGGACGGAGGACAGACAGACTCGGACTCAGCAACCAGACTAGCAGCGTAGTCTAGACGACAACGAGCAGCGAAGTCGACAAGCTCAGCAACTAGGGCAGACGCCGCAGTGGACTCGAAGGAAGGGTCAGTGACGACAATAGCAAGGAGACGCGTGACAGTAGGACTAGCAGCACGAAAGGAGTCTGACTCCGGGTCAGCAAGAGCAGGAAGAGAGGACTCAAGAGGAGAAGGCAAAGGGACACGCAGAGGAGCAGTGGACAGACGTAGAGACATCCGGTGCGTGCCGGGGACAGGGGGAGGACGCTGACGCGAACCACGACCACTAGTGCGAGCAGCACGGGCAGGCGACGCAGGACGAGACGCAGGCTCACGACGCTCAGCAAGACCTCCAGTAGGACCAGTGTAGGGAGAAGGAGCAGGCAGAGGGGAGGTAGGCTGTAACTGTGACTAGGACAAGACAGGCGGTGGACACTCTAAGGGAGGGGCAGGACTAGCGGAGGGCGGAAGACCAAGAACCTGCTCAAGGAGCGGAACGAAGTACGGCCGCGGCCGCTCAGCACCAGCACCACCAATACCAGAAGGGACAGCACCAGCACCCCGAACGACAGTACCAGCGCCAGCAGCACCCCCAGCTCCAGTAGCGCCAACTCCAGGACCCTCAGAAGCACCAGCACCAGAAGCACCCTCAATGCCAACACCCCCAGCAGCTCCAGCTCTAGCCGGACCACCAGAAGATGTAGCAGGACCAGCTCCAGCACCCCCAGTAGCATCGATGCCCGCAGCACCACCAGCTCCAGTACTAGAAGCACCCGCAGGCCCAGCAGCTCCAGGACTCCAAGTACGAGCACCTCCGGGACCCGCGGCACCAGCACCCTCAGCAGCAGTAGAACCTCCAGCGCCCTCAGCACCTCCAGCTCCAGCAGCTCGCCTCCAGCGCCGGGCAAACCACTCACGCAACTCCTGTGGAGAGAGTAGCTCCCGCCGGGACGAAGCACCCGAAGAACCTCCAGGCCCAGCACCGCCAGACGCCACACGAGCAGGCCCAGTACCCTCAGAATCCGCACCCCCAGACGCAGCACCCCCAGGCTCATCACCCCTAGTAGCACCAGAGTCAACAGCTACCTCGTTAGGCTCGACTGCGTCTACCTGAGACACACCTAAGGGGGCAGGACCCTGAGGGGGAAGGGGATCTACCGTAGGGGGACCTGGCGTAAGGAAGAGCGGCGGGGGGGGGAGGAACGCAGTGCGGTAGGGGAAGAGACGGTAGTAGGGAACCGACTCGTCAGGGAACGCAGGTGGGGGCAGGGCCCGAGGGAAGGGGAGGGAAGGACTGGGGGAGACCAGAGACAAGGACACGGGAGGCCATGCCTCGAAGACGAGGTAGGGAGGGGTGACCAAGGCGGTGGTGCCAGATGAGAGTCTAGTGAGACAGGAGATGACACGAGCAGGGGGCAGACTCAGGACCAGACCTGGATGCCGCAGCAAACACTTGACCCGACGCGGCCACCTGAGCAGACTCAGCGACTGGAGGGGACTCAGTAGTCAGTGTGTACAGGCTCGACCCTGGGTGACGGGTAAACGTGGCCAAGTGACGGGCGTTTGTTCCTCACCGCCTACTCGGATGTTTCATATACATGGAAACCAGAGGACATGACAAGTGTGGGAGGCTTCATATGCTGTGTTGGTGTAGGCCCAACTGCTTGGGAGAGCAAGAAGCAGGTTGACCAAGCTTTGAGCTCGGTGGAGTCCGAGTACATGGCACTCTTCCGTGCGGTACGGGAGATTTTTTGGCAGCGGCGTTGTCAGATATATATGACATAGCTATTGTAGGCTATAGTGGGGTAGCACATATGGGGTACAGCTTTCTAGGGTTTGCATTTGTACCCAACTTTCACTTAGTCATTCCATTCTCGTTCAACTTCTCTCATGGTATCGAGCAGGTTCCGCTGTGGGAACTGCGCCTAGGGCCCACCACTTCGACTTTTTTTACTGCCCGAAGCGCGCTCATCCCGAGTCGCGCCTCAGGCTGTTAACTCGACGAGCCGCCCTAGCGGCCTTCCCTCCCCTAGCGGCCCTGCCGCCCTACTGTCGCGGCCCCGCCGCCCCTGATTCGCGGCCTCGCCGCCCTACTTTAGTGGCCCCGCCGCCCTACACTTAGCGGCCCCGCCGCCCTACACTTCGCGGCCCCGCCGCCCTACTTTAGCGGCCCCGCCGCCCTACACCTCGCAGCCCCGCCGCCCTGCTTTAGCGGCCCCGCGGCCCTTCCTTAGCGGCCCCGTCGCCCTGCTTTAGCGGCCCCGCCGCCCTGCTTCAGTGGCCCCGCCGCCCTACACTTCGCGGCCTCGCCGCCCTGCTTTAGCGGCCCCGCCGCCCTACACCTCGCGGGCCCACCGCCCTTCATTTCGCGGCCCCGCCGCCCTGCTTTAGCGGCCCCGCCGCCCTACACCTCGCGGCCCCGCCGCCCTGCTTTCGCGGCCCCGCCGCCCGACTCTACCGGCCCCGCCACCCTTCTGCTGCGGCCCCCGCCGCCCTGCACCTAGGGCCCCGCCGCCCGTCTGCTGCGGCCCTGCCACTCTCCTCTCCTGCCCGCCACCCGAGCCGCCGACCGCAGCACCACCCTGCAGCGTGCACCCGAGCAGCCGACCGCCGCGCCGCCGAGTACCGGAGGAGCCGGGCCGCCCAGCTGCAGAGCCGCCCGGCCGCCCACCAGCCGAGCCGCCGTTCAGCCGAGCCGCCCAGCAGCCGAGCCGCTGTGCAGCCGAGCCGCCCAGCAGCCGAGCGCCGAGCCGCCGAGCCGCCCAGCCGCCGAGCCGCTGTGCAGCCGAGCCGCCCAGCAGCCGAGCGCCGAGCCGCCGAGCCGCCCTAGTACCGAGCCGCCCGACCTGCCCTGTCCGGTGAGCCCAGCCCCACTGTCACTGCGTGCCCTTCCCCTACTGCTTGCACTGCTAGTCTATCGTCGTCATGGCTACCCCTAGTGTCCTCACTTTTGACGCTGAGGGTCGAGCCATTGACTTTGAGGTCTGGGTCGACGACCTGCAGCTGTTTTTACAGTGCGATAGGGTGGACGGTCTTTCTCTCTTTGACCTCACCTCTGGTGGCTCTCCTGCCCCTACTACTGACGCTGACCCCACTGTTCGCTCTCAGTGGGCCACCCGCGATGCTGCTGCACGTCTTGCTGTGCGTCGCCACCTGCCTACCACTGAGCGCGCGCACTTTAGTCAGTACAAGAGTGCTCAGACCTTGTACGACGCTGTAGTCGCGCGCTACTCTTCTCCTGCCACTGCTGCACTGAGCCGCCTCATGCTACCGTACCTCTTTCCTGACCTTGCTGCCTTTCCCACAGTCGCCGACCTCATTACGCACCTCCGCACTAGTGACACTCACTACCGCGCCGCACTTCCTGCTGAGTTCTGCGCCAAGAACCCTCCCCCCATGTACATCACTCTCTATTACATAGTCACACGCCTCCCTGACTCCCTTCGCGTAGTCAGGGACCACTTTCTCTCAGTCTGTCCCACCACTCTCACTGTTGACCTCCTCGAGAAGGCCCTCCTGGCGGCGGAGAAGAGCATCGTCGCTGTAGGAGCCTCTCGGGGTGACCCTCGCACCCCCATCTTTGAGGGGTGTTCTCCTTCCCCCCTGCTGCCCTCTGTTGCCTCTGCTGCTGCTGCCGACCTGCTTGGTCTTGAGTCGGTCGGCGCGGCGTCTGCCCCTAGCGGGAGACGCCGACCTGGCAAGGGCAAGGGGGGCAAGGGCGCAGGTGGAGCTGTCGGGGGCGGTGGAGGTGGCGGTGGAGGCGGCGGAGGGAGTGGGGGTGGCGGTGGGAGTGGTGGCGGGGGCGGTGGTGGTGGTGGCGGCAGCGGAGGCGGAGGCGGTGGGCGGCGGCAGCGGTGGGAGCGGAGGTGGCGGTGGTGGCGGAGGTGGAGGCGGCGGTGGCAGAGGGGGAGGAGCTGGTTGGGGTGGTGCCCCGCAGCGGAGCGGCTCTGGTGGTGGTCAGCGCCAGCAGCAGCAGCAGCAGCAGCGTTCTCGGGACATCCCCCCGCCTCAGCAGCTCCGTGAGTGGTACGCGCAGCGTCAGCGTGGTGGGGGTTTTGGTCCGTGCACCTACGTCCTTCGTTCCGGCGACCGTGCGGGTGAGCAGTGTGGGGGTGCCCACCCCACCCAGCGCTGCTTTGGCCGCCTGACGGACGCTTGGCGTCAGCAGTTCCCCGAGGCTAGTGAGATTCCCCGCTGGGGAGAGCTGTGTAGGGCTGGTGTAGCTATCTTTGATCTTGACTTTGATGCTATCCTTGCTGCCATGTATGCTGTGACTATTAGTGATGAAGGTGACTGTTACCGGTGTTTCCCGCCCGACCCGGGCATTGGTACTGCTGCGCTAGGTGCTTGTGAGGCTGCTGCTCTAGGTGCCAGTGCGTCAGCACTCTCAGGTACTGGTGAGGCTGCGCTCTCATGTACTGCGTTGGCTTCGGCCTCCCTCACCTTCACACTTGACTCAGGGGCTTCTCGCTCCTTTCGAGACCGCACCACACTCACGCCGCTTGGTCGGCCGGTTGCAATCTCCCTGGCTGACCCCTCTGGGGGCCCTGTCCTCTCTCACTTCTCCACTGTCCTCCCGTGTCCGGCTGCCCCCTCGGGCACCCTGTCTGGTCTGTACCTCCCCTCGTTCTCGACGAACTTGGTGAGTGGTGCTGACCTGCAGGATGGGGGGGTTCACCAGTTTACTCCTGCGAGTCAGCGGGTGACCCACTTCTCGGACGCCCGCACAGGCCGACACCTGGCCACGTTTTCGCGTCGGACGGGGTCGAGTCTCTACACCCTGACCACTGAGTCTCCTCCTGTCCCTGCGTTTGGCCAGGTAGCTGCGTCGGGTCAGGTGTTTGCTGCTGCGTCCAGGTCTGGTCCTGAGTCTGCCCCCTGCTCGTGTCGCCTCCTGTCTCACGAGACTCTCCTGTGGCACCACCGTCTTGGCCACCCCTCCTTGCCTCGTCTTCGGGGCATGGCTTCCTGTGTCCTTGTCTCTGGTCTCTCCCGGTCTCTCCCTCCCCTTCCTTCGGGGCCAGGACCTTCTTGTGTCCCCTGTGTCGAGGGGCGGCTCCGGGCTGCCCCTCACTCCTCCCAGTTTCCCCCGACAGAGGCTCCTCTGCAGACGCTTCACATGGACGTGTGGGGCCCGGCCCGCGTCCGTGGACAGGGTCACGAGCGCTACTTCCTGCTGGTGGTTGACGACTACTCGCGTTACACCACAGTCTTCCCCTTGCGCAGCAAGGGTGATGTCACTGAGGTGTTGATCGACTGGATCCGCGCAGCTCGTCTCCAGCTCAGGAGGAGCTTCGGCTCGAACTTTCCTGTCCTGCGTCTGCACTCTGACCGAGGTGGAGAGTTCTCCTCTGGCCTTTTGCAAGCCTACTGTCGTGCACGAGGCATCCGCCAGACCTTTACGCTTCCGGACTCTCCACAGCAAAATGGGATTGCTGAGCGCCGCATTGGCATGGTCATGGACGTCGCTCGTACGTCCATGATGCATGCGGCTGCCCCCCATTTTCTGTGGCCGTTTGCGGTTCGGTACGCGGCGCATCAGATCAACCTTCACCCCAGGGTCTCCCGGCCGGAGACCTCCCCAGCTCTGCTGTGGACGGGGAAGGTCGGCGATGCGTCTGCGTTCCGTGTTTGGGGATCTCGGGCGTTTGTCCGCGACTTGTCTGCGAACAAGCTGTCCCCTCGTGCTGCTCCCTGTGTCTTCCTAGGCTTCCCCCCTTACGCCCCAGGGTGGCAGTTCTACCACCCCTCCTCTCGTCGTGTTCTGTCCTCCCAGGACGTCACGTTCGACGAGTCAGTCCCCTTCTACCGCCTCTTCCCCTACCGCACTGCTTCCCTCCCCCCGCCACCGCACTTCCTTGTGCCAGGTCCCCCCCAGGTAGACCCCCTTCCCCCTCAGGGTCCTGCCCCTTCAGGTGTGTCCCAGGTAGACGCAGTCGAGCCGGTCGAGGTTGCTGGTGACTCTGGTACTGCTGCGGGTGCTGAGCCTGGGGGTGCTGACTCTGGGGATGCTGCGCGCGTGGGCGCTGAGCCTGGGGGTACTGAGCTTGGGGGTACTGCGACTGGGGGTGCTGAGCCAGGGGGTGCTGAGCCTGGGAGTGCTGAGTCTGGGGGTGCTGAGCCTGGGGGTGCTGCGACTGGGGGTGCTGAGCTTGGGGGTGCTACGTCAGGAGCTGCTGAGCCAGGGGGTGCTGCTGAGCCTGGAGTTGCGGAGCCTGCGGCCACTGGACCTCCCCTTCTGGCGTCTGGCGGTGCGGGGCCTGGAGGCTCTCCGGGTGCTTCGTCTCGGCGGGAGCCACTCTCTCCACAGGAGCTGCGCGAGTGGTTTGCTCACCGCTGGAGGCGTACTGCTGGAGCTGGAGCTTCTTCGGCCGCTGAGGGTACTTGTGCCGCCGGTCCCGGGGCTCCTGGGCCTTCGGGTCCGCCTGGCGCTGGAGCTACTGAGGGTGTTGGTGCTGAGACTGCTGCTACCCTTCCAGGCGCTGGTCCTGCTGCGGGTGCTGCTGGTGCTGCTGGAGGTCCTGCAGCTGGAGGTGCTCTTGGCGCTGGTGCTGCCGCTGAGGGTGCTGGTGCTGTCCCTGCTATGTCTGGAGTTGCCGAGCGGCCTCGGCCGTACTTCGTTCCGCTCCTGCAGCAGGTTCTTGTCCACCGCCTGTCCAGTCACAGTCACAGTTACAGCCCGCCTCCCCACTTCCTGCTCCCTCTCCTTACACTGGTCCTACTGGAGGTCTTGCTGAGCGTCGTGAGCCTGCGTCTCGTCCCGCGTCGCGTGTTTGTGCTGCTCGCGCTAGTGGTCGCGGTTCGCGTCAGCGTCCTCCTCCTGTCCCTGGCACCCACCGGATGTCTCTGCGTCCGTCCACTGCTCCTCTGCGTGCCCCTTTGCCTTCTCCTCCTGAGTCCTCTCTTCCTGCACTTGCCGACCCAGAGTCAGACTCTCTCCATACTGCTAGTCCTACTGTCACGCGTCTCCTTGCTACTGTCGTCACTGACCCCTCTTTTGAGTCCACTGCTGCGTCTGCGCTTGTTGCTGAGGTCATCGACTTTGCTGCTCGCTGTCGTCTAGACTACGCTGCCAGTCTTGTTGCTGAGTCTGCGTCTGTCTGTCCTCCGTCCGTCGGGGGTGAGTGTGCTCTTGGCACGGACGTCCTTGAGGACAGGCAGGAGGAGTTCCAGTGTCTGGCTGCTGCTTCACCTCATCTCGCGTCCGTACTACTTGCCCCTGAGGGAGACCCGGATGCACTTGACATCCCGACTCCGCGCTCTTACGCGGAGGCCGTAGAGGGTCCCTACTCCTCTCAGTGGCAGGCAGCTATGGAGGCAGAGATGGCTTCCTGGAAGTCCACAGGCACCTACGTTGACGCGGTTCCCCCTCCTGGGGCGAACATCGTCAGTGGCATGTGGATCTTCAGGGTGAAGCGGCCGTCGGGCTCTCCACCTGTCTTCAAGGCGCGGTACGTGGCTCGTGGCTTCAGTCAGCGGCAGAGAGTTGACTACTTTCAGACCTTCTCTCCCACCCCGAAGATGACCACTCTTCCAGTGCTGCTCCACATAGCCGCTCAACGCGACTACGAGCTCCACTCTCTTGACTTCAGCACTGCTTTCTTGCAGGGTAGCCTGCACGAGGAGATCTGGCTGCGCCGTCCACCTGGCTTCACTGGGACTTTCCCTCCTGGCACCCAGTGGAGCCTCCGACGGCAAGTCTACGGTCTCCGCCAGGCACCGCGTGAGTGGCACGACACACTAAGGACTACGCTTGCGGCTCTTGGGTTTGCTCCCTCTACTGCTGACCCGTCGTTGTTTCTGCGCACCGACACTTCTTTGCCGCCGTTCTACATCCTCGTGTACGTTGACGACTTGGTCTTTGCCACAGCGGACACTGCTGGACTCGCCTACGTGAAGTCCGAGCTGCAGAAGAGACACACGTGCACAGACCTGGGTGAACTGCGCAGCCACCTTGGCTTGCAGATCACTCGGGACAGAGCACGACGCACCATTACCTTGACTCAGTCACACATGGTGCAGAAGGTCCTTCAGCGCTTCGGCTTCACGTACTCCTCGCCTCAGGCCACTCCTCTGTCTACTCGCCACTCGCTCTCAGCTCTGCCTTCGGATGAGTCCGTAGAGTCGAGTGGCCCGTACCCAGAGCTTGTTGGCTGCCTCATGTACCTGATGACCTGCACACGACCTGACCTTGCATACCCTCTTAGCATTCTTGCACGCTATGTTGCTCCTGGGAGACACCGACCAGAGCACATGGCTGCAGCGAAGAGGGTGTTGCGCTACTTGTGCAGTACGTCGGGCATGGGGCTAGTGCTTGGAGGGCGGAGTCCAGTGGTCCTCACTGGGCACGCGGACGCTTCTTGGGCTGACGACCAGGCTACTCAGCGGTCGTCACAGGGTTACACCTTCAGTCTTGGTTCCGGCTCTGTTTTATGGCGGGCTACTCGCTCGTCTTCTGTTCTCGGCTCCAGTTGTGAGGCTGAGATCTACGCCGGGGCCATGGCTGCTCAGGAGCTTCGCTGGCTCACCTACCTGCTGACTGACCTTGGAGAGCCGCCTCGTTCTCCTCCAGTGCTGTACGTAGACAACAAGGCCATGCTGGCCTTGTGTCGAGAGCAGCGCTTGGAGCACAGAACGAAGCACATTGCTCTCCGCTACTTTCTTGCTCATGAGCTACAGCAGCGTGGTCAGTTGCGACTAGCGTACGTGGCCTCTGAGGCCAATACTGCTGATGTTTTCACCAAGGCACTTCCGCCTTGTGATCATCAGCGCTTCTGCACTCAGCTGGGACTTGTACATGTCTTACCTCACTTGCTCACCTCGTGATCTGACTTGTACTCTTCCATATATATATACCTGCTCTTGCTTGTTTAGTGTTATATATATATGTGCACTCCTGCATATGAACTGGCCTTGTGGCCTTGACCTTGTGCTCGGACTGTGTGGTGACTTTGTGATCCACCCTGAGCTTGCTTTGCTTTGCTTTGCTTGACTGGTCTTGTGACCCCTTGTTCTCCCCCACTTTGCCTATGGGGGTGTGTCAGATATATATGACATAGCTATTGTAGGCTATAGTGGGGTAGCACATATGGGGTACAGCTTTCTAGGGTTTGCATTTGTACCCAACTTTCACTTAGTCATTCCATTCTCGTTCAACTTCTCTCAGGCGTTTGTTGGCTGAATTGGGGGAGGAGCAGCAAGGACCTACCCCACTGTACTGTGATAGCCAGGGTGGAATTGCTCTGGCTAAGAACCCTGTGTTGCATGGACTCACGAAGCACATGAGGGTGAAGTGGCATTGGACGAGGAGCATGGTAACCGCGGGTGAAGTAGAGTTGCGCTACGTGAAGACCACGGGGCAGCCAGCTGACATGATGACCAAGAGGCTAGTGGAGCAGCAGCATTGGAAGTGTTGCAAGCAGGCTGGGATGGCTCTGAACTAAGAGAGCAAGATCCTAAGGCCAACAATCCGAGGGGGAGTTTGTTGGTGCAACCCTACGGTTTGCACTCGGCATGTTGTCCGTGTGCATGCATGCGTGTGTGCATGGAATGGAATGAGTGCATGAAATAAATATATATTTCATGCTTATAATAGTGTGTGAATGATGGGTCATGATGTCGAGTGTGTGTGTCAAGTCAATAGCGAATTATCGCTAGTCGTGTGTAACGTAGTCGTTTTGTGTGTCCCGCGCGGTTTCTATTTTGTCGTGCGCGGTTTCTATTTTGTCGCTTGTCGAACGTTCGGCGTGTCGCAGGTGTGTGCAGCAGACCCATCAAAGACTCAAGGATGAGTTTGTGAGGAAGAACCCGAGCCCTGGTGTTAACATTCAAGTAATTGCGAAGCCCGCGAAAAAGGGTACACCTCAAGATATTGAAGATAGTTACATTACTTTGTGTAGTGTAACATTTCACTTGGTGTAGGCCCAAGTGAAGGGTAGTTTCAAGACCCTTCGTGGTTGGGGACAATGTGGCACTGTTCCACATCACTGTACCTCGGCTCTTGGGGTTTGTAGGAGCTGGGAGTCATTCCCAACTCGTAACTCTTCCTAACTCTTCCTATCTTATGTTCTAAGACTATAGTGGCTGCCATAGTGCCGTTCGTTCAAACCAACGCTGTGTCGTCAATACTTGATCAAATCGTGCGATCTAATTTGCCTAGTGTAGGGGACAATAAGACGCTCCAGCTCCAAGTTGAATCAAGTCATTTGAAGCTGTGACCAGAACGCTATGAACGTTTGAAGCCGCTGTGCAGAAATCCGACTGTGCACTCTATCTTTCGTTTTAGGCACATTGGAGCCGACTGTGACTATAACAGAAGGGAGGCGGGTTAGAGGTAGAGGTAGACGAACGTGGTTGTTTGGTGAATTGGGAGGCGGAGGGAGGTGAGTATGAGGGGGGTTAACCAAGGGGTGGAGGGAGGTGCTTGGGGGGAATGTGGGGGGTTAGCTAAGTGCGGAGAGAGGTAGGTGGGGGGAATGTGGGGGTAAATCAGGAGATGGAAAGAGGTAAGTGGGGTGAGGTAGACAAGGGAGCAAGTCGGGGGTGAGAACAAAGTAAGTAGTAGGGGGGATGAGGGAGAAAAATTAGGGGATGGAGGAAGGTTTGTGGGCAGAAAGTGAAGGAGGGAAGGATATAGTGGGAATGAAAAAAAAAAAAAAAAAAAAAAAGGTATATAGGAAATGAAGGGGAGAGGGTGCGGGAAGGAAGGAGAGAGGGATTAAGGAGGGGATGGGGGAGGGAAGGAAGGAGGGAGATAGGTAGAGCGGAAGACTAGATTGGGAAGGAAGAAGGCGGTAATTGGGGGGAAGAAGGGCAGGCGTGGGAGCAAGTGAGGCATTGGGACAGGAAGCCGAAGCGAAGGCGACGGTGAGCGAAAGGGCGACGGGGAAGGCGATCATGGGAGGGGCAGCGAGGGCGACGAGGAGGCGACGGATGGGGAAGCTAGGGAAACAGCAGGGGGAAGCGAGGGAAACAGCAGGGGGAAGCGAGGGAAACAGCAGGGGGGAGCGAGGGAAACAGCAGGGGGGAGCGAGGGAAACAGTAGGGGGGAGCGAGGGCGGTGGGGAGCGGCGACTGGCAGGGGAAGCTAGGAGGATGGGCAAGGCGATGGGATGAGAAGCGAGGGCGATGGGGAAGCGAAGCGAGTGAAGGCGACGGGATGAGAAGTGAGGGTGACGGCTGGGGACGCGTGGGCGACGAGGAAGGCAATGGGAGGGAGAGTAGGGCGACCGGCAAGGGAAAGTAGGGCGACGGGCAAGGGAAAGTAAGGCGACCGGCAAGGGAAAGTAGGGCGACTGGCAGGACGAAGTGTCGAACTTATATGCTATAGTCTGTTTAGGCTGTAGTGGGGTAGTCAATATGGGGTACAACACTTAAGGGTTTCCTACTTGTACTCCTCATGCTGCTCAATGCAATCATTCCTTACTCAGATTCTCACATGGTATAGAGCAGGTTCCCTACTGGGAACGCTTCCTAAGGGCCCACCACTAAAAAAAATTTCTGCACGGAGCGCGCTTTTCTCCTGCCCGAGTTGCGCCCCGTGTGCCCTCCCTCCCGTCGCGTCCCTAGCCCTTAGCGGTCCGTCGCGCCCTCCTCAGGCCCCTAGCGGCCCCTTTCGCGGCCCCTCGCGGCCCCTCTCACGGCCCCGTTGCCGACCCTAGCGGCCCCGTAGCCGACCCTAGTGGCCCCGTCGCCGCCCTGCCGGCCCCGTCGCCGACCCTAGCGGCCCCGTAGCCGGTCCAAGCGTCCCCGTCGCCGCCCTATTGGCCCCGTCGCCGACCCTTACGGCCCTGTCGCCGCCCTAAGGGGCCCCGTCGCCGCCCTATCGGCCCCGTCGCCGACCCTTGCGGCCCCGTCGCCGCCCTACGCGGCCTCGTCGCCGCCCAATCGGCCCCGACGCCGACCCTTGCGGCCCCGTTGCTGCCCTGCCGGCCCCGTCGCCACCCTAAGCGGCCCCGTCGCCGCCCTGCCGGCCCCGTCGCCACCCTAAGCGGCCCCGTCGCCGACCCTACCGGCCCCGTCGCCGCCCTAAGTGGCCCCGTCGCCGACCCAACCGGCCCCGTCGCCGCCCGACCGGCCCCGTCGCCGACCCTAGCCGCCCAGTCGCCGCCCTCAGCGGCCCCGTCGCCGCCCCTTCACGGCCCCGTCGCCGTCTCTACCGGCACCTTCAACGCCGACAGCAGCCCAGCAGCCGAGGCGCCCGACAACCGAGCCGCCGAGCTGCCCAACAACTGAGCCGCCGAGCCGCCCAGCAGCCAAGCCGCCGAACCGCCGCGCCGCCCAGCAGCCGAGCTGCCGAGCCGCCCAGCCGCCCAGACGCCCAGCAGCCGAGCCGCCCAGCCGCCCAGCCGCCCAGCTGCCCTGCAGCCGAGCCGCCGAGCCGCCGCGCCGCCCAGCAGCCGCGCCGCCGAGCCGCCCACCAGCCGAGCCGCCGAGCCGCCCTTCCTTCCGGCGCGCCCGGGCCCTACTTCCCTGGACTGGTGAGCTCACTCCCTGATAGACCACTGCAGTCATGGCTACCCCCAGTGTCCTTACCTTTGATACTGAGGGCCGTGCTGTTGACTTTGAGGTCTGGGTCGATGACCTCCAGCTGTTCTTACAGTGCGATAGGGCGGACGGACTCTCACTGTTCGATCTCACCTCTGGTGTCTATCCTGCCCCGCCTGCTACTACTGACAGCACTGTTCGCTCACAGTGGGCCACGCGCGATGCTGCTGCACGTCTTGCTGTGCGTCGCCACTTACCGACCACTGAGCGTGCGCACTTTAGCCAGTACAAGAGTGCTAAGACCTTGTACGACGCTGTAGTTGCACGCTACTCTTCCCCTGCCACTGCTGCGCTTAGCCGCATCATGCTACCGTACCTGTCCCCTGACCTTGCTGCCTTTCCCACAATCGCTGACCTCATTACGCACCTTCGCACTAGTGACACTCGCTACCGCGCTGCGCTTCCCGCTGAGTTTTGTGCCAAGAACCCCCCCCCCACATGTACATCACCCTCTACTACATAGTCACCCGGCTCCCTGACTCCCTTCACTTAGTCAGGGACCACTTCCTCTCAGTTTGCCCCACCACACTCACCGTTGACCTCCTCGAGGAGCACCTTCTAGCAGCAGAGAAGAGCATAGTCGCTGTAGGAGCCTCTCGTGGTGACCTCGCACCCCCGTCTTTGAGGGGTGTTCTCCCTCCCCCATCTTGCCCTCTGTTGCTTCTGCTGCTGCGGCCGAACTCGTTGGCTTCGATTCGGTCGGCGCTGCGTCTGTCCCTAGCGGGAAGCGCCGCACCAGCAAGGGCAAGGAGGGCAAGGGCGCTGGGGGGGCCAGTGGGGGCGGTGGAGGTGGTGGTGGAGGCAGTGGAGGGGGTGGGGGTGGTGGTGGGAGTGGTGGCGGGGGTGGAGGTGTCGGTGGCAGCAGTGGAGGCGAAGGAGGCGGCGGTGGTGGCGGAGGGAGCGGAGGCAGCGGCGGTGGCGGAGGCGGCGGAGGTGGTGGAGGCGGCGGAGGTGGCGGTGGAGCTGGTCGCGGCTCTGCGCAGAGGAGTGGCTCTGGTGGTGGTCTGCGCCTGCAGGACGTAGGACGTAGGTACAGGGGCCAGCACCCCCACCCCGCTGACGCGCAGTGTACCACTCACGAAGCTGCTGGGGGGACGGGGTCTTACGAGTGCGCTGCTGCTGCTGCTGGCGCTGACCACCACCGGAGCCGACCCGCTGCGCAGAGCCGCCCCGACCAGCTCCAACTCCGTCGCCGCTACCTCCACCACCGCCTCCACATCCGCCACCTCTGCTCGCACCGCCACCACTGCCGCCTCCACTGCCGCCACTAGAGCCCCCACCCCCGCCACCACTCCCACCGCCACCCCCACCCCCTCCGCCGCCTCCACCGCCGCCTCCACCGCCCCCGCCAGCTCCTCCAGCGCCCTTGCCCCCCTTGCCCTTGCCGGTGCGGCGTCTCCCGCTAGGGGCAGACGCCGCGCCGACCGACTCAAGACCAACGAGGTCGGCCGCAGCAGCAGAGGCAACAGAGGGCAAGAGGGGGGAGGGGGAGCACCCCTCAAAGACGGGGGTACGAGGGTCAACACGAGAGGCTCCTATAGCGACTATACTCTTCTCTGCTGCTAGGAGGCGCTCCTCGAGGAGGTCAACGGTGAGAGTGGTGGGGCAAACAGAGAGGAAGTGGTCCCTGACCGAGCGAAGGGTGTCAGGGAGCCGAGTGACTATGTAGTAGAGGGTGATGTACATAAGGGGGGGGTTCTTGGCACAGAACTCAGCAGGAAGCGCAGCGCGGTAGCGAATGTCACTAGTGCAAAGGAGCGTAATGAGGTCAGCGACTGTGGGAAAAGCGGCGAGGTCAGGGAAGAGGTACGGCAGTATGAGGCGGCTAAGGGCAGCAGTGGCAGGGGAAGAGTAGCGTGCAACTACAGCGTCGTACAAGGTCTTAGCACTCTTGTACTGACTAAAATGCGCGCGCTCAGCGGTCGGTAAGTGGCGGCGCACAGCAAGGCGTGCAGCGGCATCGCGCGTGGCCCACTGCGAGCGAATAGTGGCGTCACCATCAGCAGCAGGGGCAGGAGAGGCACCAGACTTGGGTTCAAACAGGGAGAAACCGTCTGCCCTATCGCATTGGAGGAAAAGCTGCAGATCATCTACCTAGACCTCAAAGTCAACAGCCCGACCCTCAGCGTCAAAGGTGAGAACATTCGGGGTAGCCATGACAGCAGTAGACTAGCAGTGAGTTCAGCGGGGTAGGGCAGTGCAGTGGTAGAGGCGCTGCTCTTACCAGGCAGGTGAGGCGGTCCGAGGCAGGCCGGCAGGGACAGGGCCGCGACTGCAGTGACGGTGGTGTCTCGGTTGCGGCGGCGTGGCGGCTCGGCGGCTCGGCGGCAAAGGCGGCTCGGTGGCAAAGGCGGCTCGGTAGCTCGGCGGCTCGGCGGTGACGGCGGCTCGGCTGCACGGCGGGGCCGGGAAGGGCGGCGGAGGGGCCGAGGAAGGGCGGCGACGGGGCCGCGGAAGGGCGGCAGGGCCGCTAAGGGCGGCGACGGGGCCGTAAGGGGCGGCAACGGGGCCGCTGAAGGGCGGCGACGGGGCCGCTGAGGGGCAGCGACGGGGCCGCTGAAGGGCGGCGACGAGGCCGCGGAAGGGCGGTGACGGGGCCGCGGAAGGGCGGCAATGGGGCCGCTGAAGGGCGGCGACGGGGCCGCTGAAAGGGCGGCGACGTGGCCGCTGAAGGGCGGCGACGAGGGCGAGGGGGGGAGGGCGACGGGGCCGCTAAGGGCGGTTACGGGGTCGCGGTTCGGCGGCAACGGGGCCGTAAGGAGCGGCGACGGGGCCGTAAGGGGCGGCGACGGGGCCGTAAGGGGCGGCGACGGGGCCGTAAGGGGCGGCGTCGGGGCCGTAAGGGGCGGCGACAAGGCCGCTAAGGGGCCACGCAGGGCCGAGAGAGGGCGGCGACGGGGCCGCTAAGGGGCTACGCGGGGCCGAGAGAGGGCAGCGACGGGGCCTAAGGGGCCGCTAAGGAGGGCGCGACGGGTCGCTAAGGGCGGGACATTGGGTGTGTTTCGGGCAGGGGCGGCACGCGCCCCGGGTAGGAAAAAAAAAAATTGGTGGGCCCTAGGAACAGTTCCCACGAGGGAACCTGCTCGATACCATGAGGAACTTAGAACGAGAATGAATGACTAAGGAATGAAAGTGATACAAATATGAAACCCTAGAATTGTGTACCCCTTAGTATCTAACCCGCTATAACCTACACAGGTTAGATCATATAAGTTTGACAAGGAGGGGCTGGAACCCTGATTTGTAAGAGTAGGCATAAACTAATTTTGGGCCCTGGTTGGTTTGTCCTTCGGCCCTCAGATTCATTTTGCCTCTGGATCCTCCGGCCATCTTGATCTTGGAGCGTGTGCCGCTCGCCAGATCTTGGTTCGGCGAATTTTATGGAAGTGTTGTTGCAAAGAATCCCTAAGTAGCTCTCATACCATGTTACAAAGTCAAATATGCTGTAGGAGCCGACTCTACCGAGTACGAAGTCGAGGAGTCAGAAGAATCGAAGTGACACTAGCAGCCGTCAGATCTAGACCGATGCAGGCAGATACATTTTGTTGCGATCAAACGATGATCGTTGCCAGGTTCACCTCAGGAAGGTTCGCACACTTTAGTCTAGTGGTGGTGGGCCCGTGATCTCAATAGCAGAGTGAATGTAAAATGCTTGAGATGATAAAAACATGCAAATAGAACGATATAAATATGAGTACAAAGGAATCTGAATCGTCCTATCTAGCCATGTACTCTAAGGGGTACATTCTCTTATTCGAATTCAACCGTCCGGCGCATACAGTTACGAAACTGTTCCCGCCAAGATCCTCCTGCATGCAGCTGCCCGATGTCGTCTGCTCCGACGGTCCGGATGCATCAACCGTCTGTCGTTTCGAGTCAAGTCTGACTCTTCACATTCGTTCTCGATAATGCATGCTTCTTTAGCTGCGGTTGGGAGTGCATTGCAATCTTCATTTGTTGCTATTCGTAACACCCCCCTTCACTCCTGGCCGTAGCTCGACTTGACCTGCTTGACCACGCCGCTGAGTTCGGAGCAGTGTTGGTACTGCTGGCGTGGCTGTCGCTTGGTGAGGAAATCTGCTGCCATGTCACCGGTCGGGCAATAGGTCAAGTCAACCTTGCCCTTGTCCACTTCGTCCTTCACGAAGAAGTACCGCAGCGCAATGTGTTTGGTGTGGTTGACGAAACCAGGTTTGTTCGCAATGCGAATCGCACTCTGGTTGTCGCAGTGGAGGCGAAAGGTAGGCGAGGCTGGAATTTTTGCTTCCTCTTGAAGTTCCTGTAGGTAGAGGCCTTCGCGAACTGCTGCGGTTGCTGCGATGAATTCCGCTTCGGCTGATGACAAGGCAACCAGCTCCTGCTTCTGTGAGTTCTAGGAGATTGGTCCCGTCGGTTCGAGTCGGAACAGGAAGCCAGTCCTGGACCGTCGATTTTCGGGATCTGCTGCGTGACCGACGTCCACGTAGCCGATCAGGTTGAAAGATGCGGTTGATGTAGTCGAGTAGCACAACCCAATCTTGGGCGTTGCAACGAAGAACTGTAGGGCGCACTGCAGGTCCAGAAGATTTTCAGCCGTTGGCTTGCGTGACTACTGGGCCAGCTGACTTGCGATGGAGGAAAGATCAGGCCTACATGTGACAGAGGCAAAGAGCAGGCATCCCAGCTGCTGTTGGTAAGTCTGAACTCCAGTAGGGGACAGGGCTTTGTTGTCAAGTTTGTGGTTCGGTCCTGGAGTTCAATAGGGAGTTGAGAGCGGTGCAGGCGAGATGTTGAACCGTTTCCCCAACTCCTCTGCGTACTTAGCCGCTGAGAGGTGAATTGCCTCAGGTGTGTAGGAGATGTCGAGGCCTAAGAACTGCTTCACCTCGTAGTTACACGTGATGTCGACGAGCTTCGCCAGGCTTTTCTTGAACTGCTCGAGCAACTCGTTGCTTGAGCCCGTGTAACGCAGGTCGTCGACGTAGACCATGAGGAGAATGTATTCGCCGCGGAAATCACGGCGGTACATTCCCGGGTCGTGCGGCATCTGCTTGAACCCGATTTCAAGGAAGATGTTGTGCATGTACTGCTGCCAAAGCCTTGGTGCCCGCTTTATCCCGTACAAGGACTTGCGCAGCTGGCATACGCGCGAATCTCCTTCGCCGTATGTGTGCGGCTGCTCCACGTAAATCACGGCGTCTACTAATGCATACAAGAACGTATTCTTGACGTCAATCTGGCGGAAAGGTAGATGCCTTGCAGCTGCGATGGCGAGCAGGATTCGGATGGAGGTGTGGCGGCTGACTGGGGCGAACGTCTGGTCGAAGTCGATGCCATGCCTCTGGTCGTATCCCCGTACCACCCAGCGTGCCTTGAAGCGCTCGATCGTTCCGTCCGCTGTGGTCTTCACCCAAAAGACCCATTTGCCTGAGAAGACTCTTGCGCCTTTGACTGCCGCACGGTCGACTAACACCCAGGTGTCTCGGGATTCGAGCGCCTTGATTTCTGCGTCCATCGCCTCTCGCCATTCTTTGCTGTGATGTCTAGTGAGAGCTTGGCGCGGGTTTCGTGGCTCGATCACGCGTGGCGACTTCGAGGTTGCGTTGTGGAGCTCGAGCAGCTGCAATCCTGAGATGGTGCTGTCGTGACGACGTTGCGAGATGACTTCCTGCACATCATCGTCATCGCTCTCTGGTTCAGGTGGTGCAAGTGGTGTTGCGCCACTGCCGCTTCCGCCTGTTCCGCCCATTCCTCTTCCAGGGGAATTGTTGTCATCGTCGTCATCGCTGCTACGATCTCTCCTCCATGTGAATTCGCCCTTGGTGTCCTGCTCCAGAATTGCCGCCGCAGCTTCATCGTCGGGTGTTGCATAGCTGTGCCCGTTGTTTGCGTAAACGCGGTTCGCATTCATTTGCTCGTCGTGGCGGAACTGGTCGAGGAAGAGGCATTCGTAGAAGATCACGTCGCGAGCGTGGGTGGTTTTTTTACTGAGCAGGTCCAGCACGATCCACGCCTTGTGCTCGTGGTTGATGCCGAGGTGAATGCCCCATCGTGTGCGGCTGGCGAATTTGCCGATGGTTGACGTTGGCGGGCGGTATTGGACCATGCACCCCTACACGCAGAGCATGGGCGTATCTCCCTTGGTCCCGGTCCACTTTACATGTGAGGACAGGTTGCCGGTGATGGCGGTGGATGAAAGCAGGTTGTGCACCCGCACAGCGTGGTGCATCTCGTAGGTCCAGTAAGCCGTCGGTAGTTTCGACTGCTTCATTAGCGCCCGCACCTTCGTCATCAGCGTGCGGTTCGTCCGCTCAGCTTCGCCCTGTTGTTGGTGTGCGTAAGGGAGAGAGATATGGTGTTCGATCCCCTTTTGCACGAGGTAACTCTGCAGCTGATTGCTCCTGAATTCCTTTGCGCCGTCAGATTGCCATATTTTCATCTTCTTCCCGGATTGCCGTTGTGCGTGCGCAAGCCAGAGGCGGAACACCTCATAGGCTCTATCACGTGTTTCAACGTTCGCGACCCACACATAGCGCGTCCCGGCATCGATGAAGGTAAGCATGTACATCTCGTCGTCGACTCCGCAGTGCCCCACGTTCAGGAAATTGTTGTACACCTTGTGCAGCTTTGGGTAGCGGTTCGTCCCTGGTTCGAGCAGTGGGAACGGTTGGTGGCTCAGTGCGGCTTCGGGGCAGGCGGTGCACTTTCAAGGGTGTGTTGCGCCCCTCACTTCTGTGCCATCTGGGCGCAGGAGCACTCCTGGAGTGAAGACGCCTGCGTCGATGCAGTTTTTCAGCGTCGCGCGTGAAGGATGTCTGAGGCACTGATGCCAGAGTGCATCGTCAGCGCGACAGCCGGAGGTGCGCATGTAGCGCGCGCGAGCTTCTTCGGGGTCTTCGTCGGGTATGGGGGCAGGTTCCGCTGCTGTCTCTTCTTCGTCATCAGCGGTAGTCAACATCAGCGCCAGGAATTCTCTGTCACGGATCTCAGAGAGTGGAATGTTGGTTCCAGGGATGGTTCCGGGAACGAATATGGGTTCGCGTGGTTCGGGAGCGGGTCCGTAGGCAGTGCGGCGTGGCGTTGACGACTCGTTGCCCCAATCGATGGTGTCCCATGAATCGCGGTGCGGTGGGTTGTCAGGAGGAGGTAATGCGAGTGGAGTGCGGCGCGGGGGATGA